TTAGTCTAAATTTGTTTGAAAGTACAAGTAATGGGCATAAATCTAGAATTTTGTAAGCGGCGTGTTGAGCCTGCAACTTAAATGAATTCAGCTAATCGATTATTGCGGTTCTGATGGGCCACGGCTCTTCAAAATCGATTTTAGTGGCAGAACGACACAAGTGTGGTCGTTAAACGACACTTGTGTCATTTTGTTAATTTTTCTAATATTTTGCTATTTTTCAAGGTAATGACAAGAAGGATTGGACCCCTAATCTAAGAAGGACGAAAATATTGATTGTGCGACAACTAACGGTGGAATTGATATAGAATATAAGGTATGAAATGGTGAAAATACAAGTTTTAGTCTAAATTCGTTTAAAAGTACAAATAATTGGCATATCTCAAGAATTTTGTAAGCGGCGTGTTGAGCCTGCAACTTAAATTGGTTCAGTTTATCGATTATTGCGGTTCGGACGGGTCGCGGCTCTTCAAAATCTATTTTAGTGGCAAAATGACACAAGTGTCATACATGTGTCATTAAACGAAACTTGTGTCGTTCTGTTGATTTTTCCAATATTTTACTACTTTTCAAGGCAAGGATATCAAGGATTAGAGCCCTTACCAAAGAAGGACGAAAATGTTGATTGTGTGACAACTAATAGTGGAATTGATACAGAATATAAGGTATGAAACGGTGAAAACACAAGTCTTAGTCTAGATTCATTTGAAAGTACAAGTAATGGGCATATTTCAAGAATTTTGTAAGCGGCGTGTTGAGCCTACAACTTAAATGAGTTAAGTTTATTGATTATTGTGGTTCGGATGGGTCGTGGCTCTTCAAAATCGATTTTAGTGGCATAACGACACAAAATGACACTTGTGTCGATCTGTTGATTTTTTCAATATTTTACTACTTTTCAAGGCAAAGATATCAAGGATCGGACCCCCAACCTAAGAAGGACGAAAATGTTAATTGTGTGATAACTAACAGTGGAATTGATATAGAANTTGAAAGTACAAGTGATGGACATATTTCAAGAATTTTGTAAGCGATGTGTTGAGCCTACAACTTAAATGGGTCAGTTTATCGATTGTAGTAGTTCAGATGGGTCGCGGCTCTTCAAAATCGATTTTAATGGCAGAACGACACATGTGTGGTTCTGTTGATTTTTTTAATATTTTGTTACTTTGTAAGGCAAGGACATCAGGGATTGGACCCCCAACCTACGAAGGACGAACATGTTGATTGTGTGACAACTAACAGTGGAATTGATATACAATATAAGGTATGAAACGGTGAAAACAGAAGTCATAGTCTAGATTTGTTTGAAAATACAAGTAATGGGCATATTTCAAGAATTTTGTAAGCGGCGTGTTGAGCCTGCAACTTAAATGGGTTCAGTTTAGCGATTATCGTGGTTTGGACAGGTCGCGACTCTTCAAAATCAATTTTAGTGGCAGAACGACACATGTATCGTTCTGATTTTTTCAATATTTTGCTACTTTTTAAGGGAAGGATATCAATGATTGGACCCCCCGAATTTCATTGACACATTGAATTTCATTCACACAACATAACGACACTTGTGCCGTTCTAGTAGACGTTCAACTTGGGAGTGACGACATAAGAACATTTAAATTGAACACATCAAAACTGTAAGGATCAAAGTTACACCGCATCAAAATTGCACGAACATTTAAATTAAAGGAACAAAACTGTACAATTGCAAAATCATTATCTAGGATGTTAAACTGTACAATTGCAAAATA